GCAGGGAGCGGCAGCCGGCTTCCCTCGCCAGCTCAGGCTCCTCTGGGTCCCCGTGTAGCAGCATAAAGATGTCAAGTTCCACCAGTAGCTTGACTTCAAGCAGCAGTTTTTCAGACGGCTTCAAGGTCCAGGCTCCCGATGCTCGAGGTAAAGACAGGGCCGTGAGCCAGGTGCAGGGCGGGACCGCCGAGCACAGGCTGCGCACCACCCCCTTCATGGGCATCATGGACAAGACGGCCCGGTTCCAGCAGCAGGGCAACCCTCCGGCCCGCAGCTGGCACTGCCCGGCGGCAGAGGGGCTCCTGACGAACACGCCGGCAGCCAGCCTGCAGCCCTCCCACGCTGAGAAGCCGGCTCTCAAACCAGGAGGAGGATTTGGTAGCCAAACCAAAACCGGCTCTGGCTCAACCCTGAGTGCAGGTGTCCACAATGGGGCCCAGGGGAAGGAGCTCCAAGAAAACAAGTGCCAAATTCCAGTCCACTGTCAGGACAGCAGGGTGACAAAGACTGTTTCTCATCTGTACCAGGAAAGTGTCACTAAGCAGCAGCCTCATATCAATAACGAAGCCCACAGGAGCCACCTCACTTCAGCAAAACCAAAGCGCTCCTTCATAGAGTCAAACGTGTGAGCCTTCAGAGACCCGTTCTTGGAATTTGGAAATGTGTTGGCTCCTGGTGCGAACAGCCCATGGTTTTTTCCATCAGAAAAATGATTTTTCATCCTTATTATTTTTTTCTCTGGGATAGATATGATGCCAACAGTACATTAAACACATGGGATAAAACTTATTTAATACATAGCTAGAAGTCATCATAAATAAGAATGCTAACCAGAATTGAAAACTGTTAATTAGCTATACCTACCCAGTTAAAAATTTGAGAGCCAAGGTGATATGAATTCATGCTTTTCTCATCTTTTTTCCTTTTTATCACTTTTAGCCTTTGCTATGTGATAAAATCACAGTATTTACTCAAAGAATAAAAATGTCTATTGTTAAAGAATGATAGGCTTAACTCATGACATAATATTCCAAATGAAACACTCTGGAAAAGATGGGATTTTCAAGTTACAATTCCAGTGAGTCAAATCCCAGTTCTCTATATATGCACACACATATTGTATATATGCATATATGTGTATACCTGTGTGTATACATATATACACATACACTTGTGTACACACACATATATGTATTAAGTTCACACCTGAGTGATTTCTACCTGAACATAAGTGTGACTATAAACAATGTAGCTTTTTTTTTTTTTTTTAAAGCAAACTCAAAGAATATCCAGTGTCTTTCCCTTTGTAGCAGTTCCTTCAAGAGCATTAAACACGTATTTCCGTGTCATGGTTCTTATTCAGAATATTTTTTATAGCTCCTTTTTTTGGAACTACATTCATCCAAATTGTCTTTGCTATTTGGAAACCGTGTAAGCCCTTTGGAATAGAGACTGGCCGTCAGATGGGTTTGAGGTACACACTTAACCAGCATTCTTAGTGGCGCTGATGAATGAGCTCTCCCAGGTTCCAAAGCTGCTTTTCCAGGCAGCGCACTCCTGGAGCAAGCCTGCCAAGGCCCCTTAGGACAATATTTAATTGGATACTTCCGGTGTGGTTGTTGCTTTACAACCTTGTTGCTGTAGTGTTGCTATACAATCATTACTTTATAGTCACATGTTGTATATATGAAGTAGCCCCGTTTTATTCAGACTTGTAAATATAACTATTTCAAAGAAGTTCATCTAAAAACACAAAAAGAAAGCCCCAGTCATATATCTGCATGTTCTCTGGAAGCTTCGTCCATGCTGGTTGTTGCACTGAATGATGTATTCTAGCGGCATGTTAACAGTATACCAGTAACGGCACTTTATCTCCTTTGTAGGAACACCTCTGAGGTGCTACGCAAGTCCAAACTGTTGTATTATTCATTGTAAAGATAAGGTACAGGAACGAACCTTGGTTAAAGGTATTTTTATATGAAAATGGTGTGTAATTGGAGGATGTTAAAATGCTAGTTTGAGAGGTGGGAGTATGTTTGTTTTATATGTTGGGATGTGAAATTTATTTTCTAGAATTGGGAAGAAGGAAGATCTATATTTGCAGAATGTTTTAAAAATAGTGTAACAAAGTTTCCGTGAACGTCATTATGGTTTTGTACGAAGAGGAACCTTCTGGTGTCATTCGTCAACATTTGTCCGTGTGTGTGTACAGCGTACTTTGTACAAACAGCTTTATCATTTTTATAGGCTTTCCATGAGTTCTGCTATAACTCCTATGGCTTATTTATTGTTTATTGTTTTCTTTAATATTTGTGAGTCTTACTCTTCTGTAGTTTTGTTTCTGCACAACTACTGTACTTTTCCATATGGAATAAAGACCATTAGTAGAATCTGTTTCGCATTCAATGGGTCAGGGATAAATGGAGCCAATCCCGGGGACAGCTCTAGCTGTCTTGCTTCAGTCTTTATTACTCTAAAGAAATTGGTGGAAAGCATATTTATATATTGTAATACTACCAAATGCATATTTAATTTCACTTTATAATTTCTGAATAAGGTTGCCAGCTTCTAGAAAATCCAAAATACTTAAGGGTCAAAATTAGTCTTTGTGCCTGAAGTACGAAGGCACGAAGGAGAGCGGTTAGTGCTTTGATTTCTGACTGTGTCTGATTTTACTGTCAATCGGATCTCTTTCCTACTGTAACTCTCAAACACTTTGGCAGTGCACCGAATACTGTTGTGACAGCTTGTTCTTCAACACATTTGTATTATCTTTCAGTTCAAAGTGTGTGTTTATCTCTATGCCCACGTATTTAGGTTTCAAAGTAGAATGAATGAACATTAAAAAAAAAATCATGATCAAATTGACTTGGAACCTTAAGCCTATTACCTCAGGTTATTGTCTAGTCACAACTACTGCAAGCAAGCCTAAGTAGGTTATTCCCAGTCCTTCTTTAAAGCTCTGTATTTAGTTAAAGGTTTAAAACACAGACAGGGCAGAAGGGGAAAAGGATTATTGGTTAATAAATAAATCTTGTCATCGGGCAGCTTTTCCTGTAAAGCAGCCAGTGTATCAGTAGATTAATTTTATGAATCAAACTATGATTTTGACAGCCAGCTGGTGACATGGTGGGTAAGGCAGCTGGATCCCACATGGCCAACTGAGTGGTTTGAGTCCCAGGCTCGGCAGCTTCAAAATCTCACTGGGCACGTGCACACGCCCAAGGTTCTGACAGGAGGGAAAAGTGGAGGTGCTTGCTTGCTTTTTCCTCTCTGGTGAGTGCATGTATCCTCTGGTGAGTTTTTTAAAAAATCGTGATTTTGATCATATTCTCAGTAAAGATACGTGGTCCATTCACCCCAGAAAGAGGCAAAGTCCCTGTGAGAGGCTACAGGTGATCCAGGGCTGGCGGTGGGCGGGTGCCTTGTGCCGCAGCCAGACAGGCCGGCAGAGGGGCTGTGCTGTGTCGTTCCTACAGGCTGCTTTGAATTTGGTGTGTTTGCTTTTTCGTTTCTTCTCTGTATGTTTGTGAAGCGGAGGAAGTTGTTTGGCTTTGGTTTTTGTTTGTTTTGTACAAAAAGAGAAGTGCTACAATTCCATAACTTATTGGCATCTGAGTTTTCAGCCATTTCACTTTATAAGAAATTATCTTGGTGAAACATAGAAAAACCAGGCACCTTCTTTAACTTATCTAAAAACTAGCCACCCTTTTAACTGTGTTTTCTAGTGATGACTTACAATGATTTTTAATAATTTTAATGTAAAAGCCAATCAGCTTCCTTTAGAAAATGCTGATCAAAACAAAAAGGTAATTGGCCCAGTGGTGGACTCTTTGAAATAAAAACCTTCTGTTAGAATTATGTTAACGTACTTGTTCTATAGAACACAGTAGAGAAACACCTAGAACATTTCCACCCTTTGTTAAACCTCATTAGCAAGATTGTGAGAAACATGTGTGATAAGGGAAACAAATGCTTTTCTGGAATCAGATTGTTAATTCAAGTTGTGACATAAAGGAAATAAAATTCAGTAATATACTAAGTTAGAAATTTCACAAAGCAGCAATTGTAAAGAAAGGGAATTGGGAGATTTCTAAGGTAGGTAGGCTTTCCCCCTTGCTGTGAACATTTAGCATATTAGCTGTAAATTTATAAAATAGGAGGAAAGACTGACAAGATAATGCAGAGATTTACATTGCTCCCCCTTTTTCTTTCTTAGTTTTCACATTCTCGAACAACAATGAAAACTTTCCAGGGCAGACAGTCTGAGTCCCTGCCTGCCTCGCGGGTCAGTGCGACCGAGCTTCCCGCTGACAACTTCCATTCTGGCAAACAGCTAAGAGAAGTTGGCAAGAAGTCAGTACAGCCTCAGCTTCCTAACTTGAAGTTTTCTTCGGAGTGAACACTTACCAGGGCACTGTATTAAATGTCAGGCTACGATGTGGAAGTGGCTTTGTACAGTTACCCTAGTTTAGAATAGTACGAATAAGAATTCTAAATTCTGGGGGCCAGCTGGTGGCGTGGTGATTGGGGTGCTGGACTTCCACATGGCTGACCAGGGGCCAAGTCTCTGACCTGGTGGCTTATTTCTCACTTTCTCTTTCTGTCTGTCTCTGGTGAGTGTGTGTGTCTTAAAGCAAATTAAACATAATAAAGATAAAAATGAAATGGATAATTGTTTTAAAAAATTCTAAATTCTGAAAGAGGCTGGTTTGCTACTTTATTACTTTTCAGCAAAGTCAACCTGACTTACGGTAATTTATTCTAACATGTGCCTTGGCTTATTAAACATAACTAATTATTCACAGGTTCTCTTAAGGATTCTGGAGGGTTATTAGGTGAATGCCTATTGTTTAGGACATTCCTGCATTTAGTTATGAAATATGACCTATACCTAACAATATATTTGGACATTACACTTTAAAGTCAAACTTTATTTCCATGTAACTTAGATATTTTTCACTATTACAAAAAGGCTTTTGTAGCAAATATAAAAATTAGGTTAGCTGTATAACTTAGTTCATGGTGTTTTAAAGAATGAAAATTGATAATTTTTTAGTTTATTAAGGTGCTTGCTTTTAATAATGTCTGGTTAGTATTTACCTTTATTCAAATGAGATCACTGAAAAATATAGACAGTATGAACAGTTTTATTTGTGCTGTGTCTCGAGCCATCGGTCGATGGCCATCTTCAGAGTCCTGTTTGGTGTAAGTACCACTGAAGGAAGAACGAGGTTTGTCATGGGACTTGTGCGTTTCTTTTTGCTGATCCAGTTTTCCATTGCTTCTTTTTCATATGAATAGCCATCTAAAAAGAGATCCACACATTATTTGTGATATAAGGAGGGAAGGCTAAGATGACTGAGATGAACTGAGTCTAAAACCCCATGGCCTGGGCCTTTACTGTGATGTCCATGGACTTCTCCTGCCGCACCACAGTCACCAGAAACCTTTGCCGTGACACCGGAAACTCCAGCATCTGGGAATGCGTTAGGACTGCAGAGTCTGTATGAAGCACACATTATCTAGAACGGTATTTATAGAAGCTCTTAATACTTCATCCGGTTCCTTAGAACACCACTGCTGAGCAGAACTCGTCAGAAATTCAGACAGTGGAAGAAGAAAGCCGGACAGAACAGGAGTAAAGATAAACTGCCCCCTTACAGCTGCCAACTGTGTGTAAATTAATTTGGCTAAAGATGAAAGGAAAAAGAGGTTTGGAAATAATGTGGCAAAACTTCCCAACACATTGAAGAGGCAGGGAAATAGATATCTTGAGACTATAGAACCTGCCCCACTGAGGATTTGACAATCATGAAAAATCAGTCCACTTGCTAATGCTTTGTACATACTGTACCATTGCAAAAATTCGTTGCAGATCAGAGTTCTCCTTCACTAATTTCATTTCTTTTAAACTGAAAAATCTTGGCTCCTAATTACATTTACACATCAACCTATTTTCTTTACAATGTACATATACACTTGTTTCAAAATAATACCAA